TCTATCTATCTATCTATCTATCTATCTATCTATCTATCTATCTATCTATCTTTACTTCTCCATAGACTATAGGCCCCTTGGGGGCAGGAATTGTTTTTTGTATGTGTGTGTACTTTTTTTTGTTTGTATCCCAAGTATCTAGCAGTAATCAAGTCAACAAGATGACAACAAATATTTATTAAGAATCTGCTATATGCAAAGCACTGTGCTAAATGCTAAGGATACAAAAATAAAATAAAACAAACAAAAAAGAAAGGTTAAAAATATATATAGTACCTGGCCTTAAGGAGTCCAGTCTATGTATAAATGAGATATGTACCAGATAAATAGGAGCTAATCACAGAGGGAAGGCACTAGGATTAAGGGATATCAAGAAAAACTTCTTGTAGAAGGTGGAATTTTAGCTGAAATTTGAAGAAAGCTGGGAGATAGAGGGAGAAGGGACAGAATTCCAGGCATTGAATGGGAGACAGAGAGTAGATAAATGCATGGAGTTAAAAAATGGAGAGTCTTGTGTGAGGAACAGCAAGGAGGCTGGTATCACTGGATCTCATGTGGAAATAAGTAAGGTGTACTAAGACTGAAAAAGTAGGAAGGGGCAAGGTAATATCTGAAGGGCTTTAAAAACCAAACAGTATTTTCTATTTGATCCTGACAGTAATAGGGAGCCACTGTACTTTATAAAATAGGGAGTGGTATGTTTGGGCATGAGTTTTGGGAAGGTCAGTTTGACAGCTAAGTGGAGGATGTACTGGAATGGGGTGAGCACTGAGATGGAAAGCTATTGCACATGTCCAGATATAAGATGATGAGGGTTTGCACCAGGGTGGTGGCAATGTTAAAGGAGAGAAGGGGGTATATATAAAAGATTTTAGAAATGTAAAATAGCCAGTATTGACAATTGATGGGGGGGGGGGTGGGAGTGGCAGTGAAAAAGAGTGAGGAGTTAAGAATGAGTTAAGAATCTCACTTATGACTCTAGGTAAAGAGAGAAATGATCATTAATAACCAATATCTTTGGGAGATTCAGATTTCTCCCCTTCTTCCAAAGTCCTGAAAGTTCAGTCTCTTGGAGGACATCAACTGATAATGAGATTGAATTAACCCTCCTCATCTTGGTCAGACACCCCCACCCCCAACCTTAAAAGGAATTTAATCTAAGGTGGGGAAGCCCATTTTTTTCTACTCAAGCTTGGGTGGGGACAGATCCTTTTGTTTAGATAGCCCAAGGCTAGGGTTGGTCTGAGATAATTTCTCTAAGGATGACTTGATGTAACTAGCAGCCCCTCATTTAACACCTAAGGATAAATAAATTGTGAGCCCCCATCATGATCGTCTTTGATCTAAAAGAGATGACCAAATTACCATCCTTTTATCAATAACCTTCTGGCCTTATTAATATGATTAAATTACCCAGAAACTGTGTCTCTTGAACTTTTTTAAATGTCACAGCAAGTAGGAGGATGGTAGTGACCTCAACAGTTAGAAAGAAGAGAAGGCTTTGGGGGTGTAGGGGTGTGGGAGGAAGGAGGTGACAATGAGTTTAGTTTTGGACATTTTGAGTTTAAGATGTCTATGGGACACCTACTTTGAGATGTCTAGTAGGCCAATGGAGATAAGACACTGGAGATCAGGAGAGAGATTAGAGGTAGATAAATAAATCTAAGAATCATCAGCATAGAGATGATAATTAAATCTTTGGGAGCTGATGAGGTCACCACCAAGCTAGAGAAGAAAAGAGGGCCCAGGATAAAGTCTTGGATGAAAAATGAGGAAAGAAGACTGAGAACGAATGGTCAGATGAATAGAAGGAGAACCAGGAAAGGACAATGTCACAAAAACACAGAGCAAAGAGAAGATCAAGGAAAAGAGGGAGTGACAGTGTCTCAAAGGCTAAGGAGAGGTTAAGAAGAAGGAGGAAGCTTGTTGATTGATTGAGTCTAAGTCTTAACTTTTGTATATCAATTCAACAAGTACTTATTAAGCACCTACTATGTGCCAGCATCTGTGCTAAGAGCTGGAGATACAAAGGTAAAATAGAAACAGCCCCTGCCCTCAATATGCTTACATTATGCTAAAAGGAAAGAACATATATACATATATATATATATGTATGTGTGTGTGTCAATAAACATGTATATACATGTCAATAAATAGAAAATATTTACAAAATAAATGCAAAGTATTTTGGGAGGTTGGAAAGCTTGCTCCCCAGGTAGGATCAGGAAAAGCTTCATGTTAGGACAGCATTTGAACAGATTCATGAGAGAAGCTCCAGTTTTCAAGAGGTAGAGATAAAAAGGATGATTTAAAGCTGAGGGAAGAACCTGTGCTCTCTTACATAATGGCAGGAAAAGGAATGTTGGATGCCAGTATGAGGGCCAGATATTGACTTAGAAAATCACAAATTCACATTATCTGTGTTGTATTTTTATTTATTTTTCTTAAACATTTCCTAATGACATTTTAACCTGCTTGGCTACACTAGGCAGTTTTGTAGGCCACTTGAGGTAGGGTCTGAGCTTGGCACCTCTATTGTATCCTGTAGGGCAATAGGTCAGGGAAACAAAAAGATTACTACGTACCTGTTTTCCCTTCTCTATATTATCCTAGTAGGAGAATAAATAGATAACTAGAAAGAGACCCTACTTTAGTATCTGGATATCTGCTTTGAAATGTATGTTATTACAAATAATTACATTTAATAGAGCTCATTTGCTATGTCAAGCCCAATCTATCTCTAGAAATACAATTGAAAAAGGAAGGTCTTGGCTCACATTTCCAAAAATCTTTTCATTCATACATATAAAAGCAAGGAAGAGAGAGGAAAAGAAGGAAATTTTGCTTTTCTTTCCAGTACAAATGTCCTACAGTCTTTTTTTTTTTTTCAGGGTAATCAAGGATCTTGTCAAGTGACTTGAGAAATCATTAGGTCCCACCCCCTAATTTTATATATAGGGAAACTGAGGCAGAGAAGTAAAGTGTCTTGATCAAGAAAATAAGTTCTTGGTAGAACTGGGATTTCTAAGTCACAATCCCATGTATTGTCATGTACAGAAACTACTTTAGTTTGTTTCTTCCCATGCCCTCACCATTAAATAATGGTGTTTCAGAAAAAAAGAAAAAAAAACTTTTTAAGAAAAATGCTCCCTTAAGGTTATCAGTTTTAATGTTTAAACTTACATATGTGATAAGTTTTCAAGCTGTTTTACCAGAGTATAACACCCACAAAAAGAACTCTGATCCATATATCACTTTTTTCTCAATTAAACCCTAAGATGAATTAAGGCCATACTCATGGAAGGATCTTGCCCTCTTTATGGTATGCTGTCAGTATACAATCAATTTTCTCTCTCACTTCTGGATTGAGGAAACAAGGGCAGTGGAGGTAAAAAGGCAACACATGTTTAAATGACTAAGCCACAATCTCAACTCCAGTGGTTCTATCATGTTCTCCCATATGGAAACAATTGAATGAGACAGAGATATGCGTGAGAAAACAGTGTAAAAATACTGACACAGATGCCCATTCCAGTGCTGATTTGTTTTCTTCCAGCAATTCAGGATGAAATTTCATTGTTTTGCAATTTTGCTTTACGGAGGTAGTAATTTGTCAGATGGGTAGGAAATACCTCTCTAAAGTCTGGAAATGTTTCTTCCTTTTCTGGATCAGTGAAAGTCAGCTTGATTATATGAAGTTCAGCAAAAATATTATGGGCATTTTCCCAAAGAACATGATACCACCTGACACTGGATTGCTTTTTTTTAATTGAGCTAACTGTATTTTAGCAGTTTTGCATAGTATATAGATAACTAGCCTTGAGGTTAAGAAGACCTGGATTCAAGTACCCGAGTGATACAGTTGGACTGTTTGATCGTAGCAAAGTCATTTAACTTCTGAGGGGCCAAAGCAGGGTCCAAAGACTATAAGTTGTGGACTATTTGTTGTTCTTCATTGGTATAAAAATATTCTTCATTTATAGTTCCTTACACCAATGAAAAACACACACACACATATGTATGCATGTGTATGTATCTGTATATATATGTTAGTCTGGCTCTGTGATTGCATTGGTGTAGGGAAATATAGGCAATTAAATAATTCATACAAAGAGAAAAATACATGTATGTACACATACACACTCATTTCTTTTCTTAAATCAGCAACAAGAGAAACAACTCTTCCTACTGAACTCCATGTTAATACTTCAACATCTGATCCAGTTCCATCTCATCCCTGATATAGTACCTCCTCTGGTGTCACTCTAATCCCCACTCAAACTGTCAGATTGGGTCCCTAGAGAGTAACCAACAATTTCTCTCCTCTAGGTTCAAAAAGAAACCCTGAGGGGTTAGGAGTGGTTTCTATAGTTCAGAAACCCCCATCTGTCTGTTCCTCATTGAATATCCAGGCAATGTAAATTTGTCAGCTAGAGTTAACTGATAGCTAGGTGGTGCCATAGTGCACAGAGCACTGGGCTTGGAATCAGAAAGACTCATCTTCATGAGTTCAAATCTGTCCTCAGACACTTGATAGCTGTGTGACCTTGGGCAAGTCATTTAACCCTATTTGCCTCAATTCCTCATCTGTAAAATGAGCTGGAGAAGGAAATGGCAAACCACTCTAGTATCTTTGCCAAGAAAACCCCTAAATAGGGTCATGAGGAGTAAGACACAACTGAAATGACACAATAACAACAGAGTTGTACATAACAAAGTCCATGGTGAAATGGGCTCAAGCTTATAGAAAACATGTGGTAAGGGGGAAACGCTTGACTCCTGATTGGAGATAAGTCCTCTTCTCCTTTTGTGGAGTCCTCATGAAGTTCTCCTGAGGTGTATTGTAGACACCACTGGGTGAACCACTAGTAAGTTCAGGCTAATCTCAAGTCATTATTAGTCTGAGGGAGAACAGGTTTAGCAGTAGATAAATTTTGGGGCTCCCCTAAAAGGTGAAAGGCTTGAGATCTAGGACACCTAGAGGTGTCCAATCCAGGCTAAAAGGAGTTTGTATTACCAGGTTTCGCCCTCACTTTTTTTTTTCTGATTTTTCTTCACTTTCTTTTTTTTAAAATTTATTTATTTTTTTAGTTTTCAATATTCACTTCCACAAGATTTTGAGTTCCAAATTTTCTCCCCATCTCATCCCTCCCCCCACCCCAAGATGGCATGCATTCTGTATACCCCTTCCTCTAATCTGCCCTCCCTTTTATCTCTCCCTCCCTTCCCTTATTCCCTTGCCCTTCTATTTTCCTGTAGGGCAGGATAGATTTCTATACCCCATTTCCTAAATTTATTTCCCAGGTGTATGTGAAAAAAAATTTTTTAACATGTGTTTTTAAAACTTTGGATTCCAAATTTTCTCCCTTCCTTCCTCCCTCCCTACCCACCCCCATTGAAAAGGCAAGCAACTCAACACAGGTTATACACGTGTAGTCATGCAAAACACTTTCACAGTAGTCATGTGAAAAACTAAGTATACTTCCCTTCATCCTATCCTGGCCCCCATTTATTCTATTCTCTCTTTTGACCCTGTCTCTCCTCAGACGTGTTTGCTTCTGATTATCCCCTCCCCCAATCTGTCCTCCCCTCTATCATCCCCCTGCTCTCTTGTCTCCTTTCCCCCCTATTTTCCTGAAGGGTAAGAGGTTTCCATACCCAATTGAATGTGTATGTTATTCCCTCCTTAAGCCAAATCTGATGAGAATAAGATTCACTCATTCCCTCTGTCCTTCCCCCATTTCCCCTCCACTGTAAAAGCCTTTTCTTGTCTGTTTCATGTGAGATAATTTCCCCATTCTACCTCTCCCTTTCTCCTTTTCCCAGTATAATCCTCTCTCACCCATTAACTTTATTCTCCAGATATCACCCCTTCATCTTCAACTCACCCTGTGCCCTCTATCTATCTATCTATACATACATATAATTTTTCCCTCCAACTACCTTAATACTGACAAAGGACTCGTGGGTTACAAATATCATTTTTCCCTGTAGGAATGTAAACAGTTCAACCTTAATAAGTCTCTTATGATTTCTCTTTCCTGTTTACCTGTTCATGTTCCGCTTGAGTCTTGTATTTGAAAATCAAATTTTCTATTCAGCTCTGGTCTTTTCATCAAGAATGCTTGAAAGTCTCCTATTTCACTGAATAACCATTTTTTCCCCTGAAGGATTATACTCAGTTTTGCTGGGTAGGTGATTCTTGGTTGTAATCCTATGTCCTTTGCCCTCCAGAATATTATATTCCATGCCCTCCGATCCCTTAACGTAGAAGCTGCTAAATCTTGTGTTATCCTGATTGTGTTTCCACAATAATTGAATTGTTTCTTTCTGGTTGCTCACAATACTTTCTCCTTGACCTGGAAACTCTGGAATTTGCCTACAATATTCTTAGGAGTTTTCCTTTGCGGTCTCTTTCAGGAGGTGATTGGTGGATTCTTTCCATTTCTATTTTGCCCTCTGGTTCTAAAATATTGGGGCACTTTTCCTTGATAATTTCTTGAAAGATGATGTCTAGGCTTTTTTTTTGATCATGGATTTCAGATAGGATTTCAGGAGGACAGATTGGGGGAGGGGACAATCAGAAGCAAACACTTCTGAGGAGAGACAGGGTCAAAAGTGAGAACAGAAGAAATAGGATTTCAGTTCAATAATTTTTAAATTCTCTCTCCTGGATCTATTTTCCAGGTCAGTTATTTTTCCAATGAGGTATTTCACATCGTTTTCTATTTTTTCATTCTTTTGTATTTATTTTACAGTATCTTGATTTCTCATAAAGTCACTAGCTTCCAATTGCTCCATTCTAATTTTTAAGGAAGTAATTTCTTCAGTAATCTTTTGGACTTCCTTTTCCATTTGGCCAATTCTGCTTTTTAGGGCATTCTTCTCCTCATTGGCTTTTTTGGACCTCTTTTGCCATTTGGGTTAGGCTATTTTTTAAGGTGTTATTTTCTTCAGTATTTTTTTGGGTCTCCTTTAGCAAGCTCTTGACTTGTTTTTCATGATTTTCTTGCATCACTCTCATTTCTCTTCCAAGTTTTTCCTCTACTTCTCTTACTTGTTTCTCAAAATCCTTTTTGAGCTCTTCCATGGCCTGGGACTGATTCATGTTTTTCTTGGAGGCTTTGGATGTGGGAGCTTTGACTTTGTGGTCTTCTTCTGGTTGAATGTTTTGATCTTCTTTGTTACCAAAGAAAGATGCTATGGTCTGACTTTTTTTGGACCTTTGTTTATTCGTGATCCCAGCCAATTACTTGAGTTTTAAACTCTTTGTTAAGGTAGGGGTCTGCTTCCAGTGTGGAGAATGTACTGTCCCAAGCTTCAGGAGTTCTGTGTAGCTGTTTTCAGAGATACTTCTAGGGATCTGTAAATTTTCAGTTCCTCTAAGGTAATATGATTAAGGGGCGAGGTGTTTATTCCTTTTCTGGCCTGTGCTCTGGTCTATGAGTGACCACAAGCACTCTTTTCTGCCTTGGAACTGTGAGGAGAATTTCCTCTCCACCACCACTACAAACTCCACCATGGCAGCACTACACCTTGCCCCAGGATCACCACCCAGAACTGTGACCCAGATCTAACCATGGGCAAAGCAAGAGAATCCTGCACCAGCAGAGAGATCCCTGCAATTCCCCTCTGGTCAGCCACTTGATTCCCCTCAGTCTGTGGGCCAGAAGCTCCAGAAGCAGCCGCCGCTCCAGGCCAAGCTCAGGGACTAGGGCTGGGACCACGCTTCTGTCTCTTACTGCAGACACAGACTTTTCCCACTGACTTTCTAAGGTGTCTTTGGTGTTAGTGGATTGAAAAGTCTGGAAACCACCACAGCTGCCAGTGATTTAGTCCTCTGAGGTCTCCTCCAGGTTCACTGAGGCCTGCCTTGCCTGTGCGCCCACGCCAAACTGCACTCTTCTCCCAGCCTCGCGCAATACACCTTTCATATCAACCATCTTTTTGTGGGTTCTGCTGCTTTAGAATTTGTTTAGAACCATTTTATACAGGTATTTGGAGGGGTTTGGTGGAGAGCTCAAGCAAGTCACTGCTTTTATTCCACCATCTTGGTTCTGCCCCTCTCTCCCTCACTTCTTGTCATTCATCCTTCCTTCTTTCCTTCCTTCCTTCTTTTCTTCTTCCTTTAATGCTTCCTTCCTTGTAATCAGAATTTGTAAAGTCCTGGGATCTACAGAACAAAAAAAAAGGTGAAGGTTTAGCTGAAAAATCTTCAGAATAGGTCTGGGGATTCACCTCTGGGACAAGGCATCCTAAACAACAATTTTCCAGGTAATTTAGTCTGTTCAATCCAATGAGAACTAATTAAGTGCCTGCTTTATATAAGGCATTGTATTAGATATTGGGAATAAAAGAAGACAAAATAGACCCCTGTCCTCAAGGAGCTTCCATTCTACTGAGCAATGTAGATAGCAACAAACTAGATGTTCTGGAATCCAGAGTAAATCTTAGCACCAGAGTTATTCAAATTGGATGCACATGATCTGCATGATTTCTTAAACTCTGATATTTTGGCACATCAGACAACTAGGTTTATCTTTAGAATTATTTGTCACAAAATAATTGGCATCAAAACTGTTATATCAGATCCCTTGCACTACATTCTATTCTGGAAATGACTAGATCAAGTATACATTCTCCATATCTACTTGGGCCATTTCATAAAATAATTCATTGATAAGATACTATATGTAAAATACTATGACATACTAGAAATATAAGGAATTTTATCATTATCTTCATTATAATTTCCATTGATATTATTTTTATTGTTATTATATCTAGTCCACATCAGATCTGTCCCATCCTTCCTCCTAGTGCCTAGATGACATGTGGTGGTATTCTTCTTTACTCTCCTCATTTTAGATTTTCTAAAACATCCATAAAAATAGCATCTAAGCTATTCTTTCCTTTTAGGAGCACATTTACAAATTGATGAAAAGTGATTCCTACCCACGTTTCATACGATCCAGTGCCTACCAGGAGCTGCTACAGGCAAAGAAAAAGGTATTGGTCTTTCTTACCTTTTTTTTTTTTATTTCCATAGCTTTTAGTAATAATTAGTTCAGTCTCGTCTGCAGGGGCCAAGCTGCTAGATGTCTGGTAGGTAGACAGGCTCCTGGCCAAGAAAGCCTTTTCCATTTTTCCAGTGTCAAATGAGTTTTCCTTCCTTTTCTTTTCTTTCCTTTGCTGCATGTATTCATACATTCCAAATTTTATTATAATTTTCTTTATTTTATGTGAATCCTCTATATAATTTAAGGAAAAAAATGAAGAGCTGCTTATCAGAGAGAGAAAAAAATAATTATTTTGATGTCTTCCTTTGAAAGGCTCTTTCTTTCATTAAACTGGTACATTATTTCTTTGGGCACAGATCATGTTACTTAAAATGGACTGGGAGGTTTCCCCCATTTATTGTCACCTCAAATTTAGCAACCCTTCTTATGAAATATTTTTGGTCAGATTTTTGCCCAGTTCAGTTACTACTATGCCCCAAGTGTTTACAATGTCTGAAAGAGTATAAATATACTAGCAGTGAGACACGTACATAGTGAGCAAAGGTGAATTAAACCACCTTAGAATTATTCAAGTCAGGTATTAAGTCCTAATGCCAACAGCTCTCTTTAAATCAATGGAAAAATTAGTCCAGGTTCTGGGTTGGACTAGGAATATCATACCACCTTTCAGTTTTTAAATATTAAAGAGGAGATTCTGAAATCTTGTACCATCTGACATGAAGATAATATTTTCTATGAGGTCATCTAAAGCCAGTCTACTTGTACAACTGAGAACAAATTCCATATGTAAATACCATAGATGACCATCAGAGATAGTCTTGACAGCAAAGCATTGAACACTTCTAGACAGCTGCTTACCATAGTCCAAAAGTCCATAGGCCATGAGAATGACAGTGTAGTGGCATCAGACACTGACTTCATTTTTGGCTATTCTGATTTTACGTTAATCACACCAATTTAATGCATGTGACAAAATCTCTTTCTTTTTAAATGATGTGTTACAGAAAAACAATGAATAAAAAGTATTTCATTAGTGACTCTCTACTAGCACCCTCTTGATTTCTTACATGGCATTTATGTCGCAGCCTTGCATTTCATCATCCTTTTTTTTCTGCTCTGTTCTTTTTCTTTTCTTTTCTTTCTTTTTCTTTTTGCTTTCTTTCTTTTATGGGCCTTTCTCTCTTTCCCTCTTCCCATCTACCCCTCCCACATCCCAAGTAAGTTGGGCAACTCAATGGATCGCAGAACATCTTTTGAGAAACTTGCGCATATGTGGTAAGTGTTTTATCCTGACAGATTAAAGATGACTAAGTCCAATGAAGTAGCCTCCACTCCCAGCTTCACCCCTCACCTTTGCTCTATTGATGTCACAGCAGATGAATGTGTTACGGTTACACAAATTCAGGATTTCATGCTTCCCTCTAAGCTTCCTTTTCTGTTCCATCTCCCATTGCCTGGTGGGGACAAGATGCTACAAAAGGCAGACAGTGTGTTTTGGCTTTGGATGCTTAAAGAAGCATGAAATAGGTCATTAAAAAGGAAGAATATCAACTTTTTCTTTCTTTTTTAAACAAATATTGGAAAGACCTAGGAGGGCCTCCTTTACGTTTTTCCTCATAGTTATGTCTACAACTCCCTTCTAAAGAGAACATGTTTCTATCCTGTTTTCCCCTCATATTGGTCTTTCTGAGACTCAGACAAATGAGAAAAGTCTGGTTTCCTTATATCTTTCACATTTGTCATTTGTGGGAAGAATGACCTTTTGAATGGCTTATGGAAAAGCTTCATATGAATGCTGTTTGGTAGCAGGATACAAGCCCTTAAAATGTCCCATCATTATGATTCCTCTATTCTTTATTCACAGAAAGATGTTGGAAAATATTGCATCAAAGCACACAGGAAATCAGTGACTTTCCTGCCAACACTTTCCTATTCTCTCCCAGGTGTTTTGGTGATGTCCTTGTTTTCAGGATTCTTTTTGGATCTTTCTGACCTGATGTAAGCTCAAACTAAAGCATTCAACACATTTATTTTTATAGGGCAGAAACATCCCTATTTTCCCATGCCATAAAAACTGTACACCAACACTGAGGGCCAGCACTAACCTGTTATGAAAAGAGGTAGAACAATCTTGGTTTATACTCAAGTTCGTCTGCATTGTCTGTTGAGTTGTGCAGTTAGTTCCATGCTGCTGTGTGCTTGTCGTGGCTTTTGCTGTGATGACCAGTTCAATGGAGCTCTCTGTGTGTGTTGAAATGGAAGTTGATCAGCTTCAGCAAAGATCATGGTTTTTGTTTTTAGTTACCTTGGATGAGAATAGGAGTTGGGGGCGGGTGGAGTGGGAACAGATTGCCTTTGTGAATTACTGGCTATGTCCCCAGTGTTCAAAATATCTAAAAGACTTTAAAATGGTAAGTTGTTAGAGTATGTAAGACATGATTAAGAGAAGCAAAAGGCCTAAGACCTGAGATATTCGAGTATAACCTGTACTCTGATACAATTTAAACTTCAAGATCTTCCGACAGGAATCTTGACTCAGGCCTAGATTTTTATTACTCTCAGGTCAAAATCTGATTGTAAGTCATGAATAGGAAAAGTACTCCAAGTTGAGGGGAAGATGTAGAGACTGAAAACAAAGCAGTCAATGCTATTTGAAACAAAAACCCCAAGTTTTTGCTTGATGATGTGGCCATGGCATGTTGCACTGTGATTTGTGTGTTGTCCAAGAAGACTGTTTCATATCAAACATTTTCTGATCTAATGACCTTCAAACTTTGTCTTTGAGATTGTGATCAAAACACCTACTCTGGGTAATCGAAAATCACAATAGATCTTGAGGTGAGGAGAAAAGGAAAAAAAAAAGCATTACAATGGTTCCTACGCCATCTCTCTGCAACACATATGCAATGCCCAGACCTAACCATGCTCCCCCACTCTTACCCATGTCACTCTTCATTTTAGATTTTGGAAGAAAATAGGTAACAAATGAGGGGAGGAATGGAATGTTTCATAGTAGTTTGCCCTTACCAAGAAGTGGATGGTTGGGATTTGAGGTTAAGAATGAAGAAAATAGGGGCAGCTAGGTGGCACAGTGGATAGAGCACTGGCCCTGGCTTCAGGAGGACCTGAGTTCAAATTCGATCTCAGACACATAATACTTGCTAGCTGTGTGACCCTGGGCAAGTCACTTAACCCCATTGCCTAGTCAAAAAAATAAAAATTAAAATAAAAAAAAAGAATGAAGAAAAGATTAAAACAGGCATAGAAGAAAAGGGGAATCATTATCTTTCACATCCCACCTAACTAACACGTTGGTTAATTTTATTTAAATTAGCCAACTGATTATTAACATAACCAATTATTATGTCAGTGGTCTTTCGTTGTTGAAGATTAATGCTTTTCTACTCAGAAGACTAAAGAAATTTTTGGTACATTGTATACCTTCTACAAGTCTATGGGGTTAAACCTATAATGCTTTCCTGTGTACACTTTGCTCTAATGAAAGTACACAGGACACTTTCAGGATGACAGGAGAATACTACCATGATTTTCCATTTTCCTCAACTGGTTATTAAAGAATTCAGTACTTTTTTGGGGGTTTTAAGAATGACTCTTCAGCCTACAACATACAAATTAATTATTTCCAGGAGAAAAATCTACAGGGTGAAAGATGTATGTCACAAATCATTGAAAAAAATAATAACAGCTGTCCCTGCAGAAGTTCCTTTTGATTTCATCAACTCAGTATTCCTTCTCTCCAACAGTCCTCCTCTTTCTATTGCTTTCCTTTCCTTTTTTTTTTGCCTTCTATCATCATGATTTGCTTTTAAAGTTAATAATTGTACTATGTGTATAGTATATAGCAATTTTTTTCATTAAAAGCCTGATAATATAATGTGATAATATGATATTGATATGAGATATTATGACATAAAACACAGTTAGCATTGCATAGTGGATAGAGATTTGGCCTATGATTCAGGAAGATCTAGATATAAGTCCTGATTCTTTTCTCTGAACAGGCTAGGTGTGTAACTCTGGTTCAAGTTAGTTTTTCATTGCCCTAGACAACTTTTTAAGACTAAGTTGCAGAGAAAATATAGAACCCTTGACTAATTAAATCACAAGTCCAGTCAAACAAACAAACAAGCACAAAATAAAACATTATTTATAAAAGAAAATAAAAAAGGTAGAAGATAAACATAGAAGCGTGGAAATTCACAAAGGCTCTGTCCCTCTACTTTTCTATCAATATATATTCTTTTCTTTCATCCTCTCAATAGCTCCCATGAGTAGAAACATAATCTCTTTCCAATAGACTGTGAGTTCCTTCACTTGGCTCTTTTTATATCCCCAGTGTTTAGCACAGTGCCTGGCACCCAGTAGGTGCTTAAGAAATTTTTATTGACTGACTGACTAGAGATGATTCCCAAATCAATATATCCAGCACCAGCCCTAATCTCCTGGACAAAAACTATACCAGGATATCCCAAAGTCATCTTAAATATAATCTGTTCCAAACAAAACTTATTATATTTTCTCAAAATCCCTTACCTCTTCCAAATTTCTCATTTCTCTTTTTCTGACCCTTACAGCCACCCAGCTTCTTCCTACCCTCATGACATTGAACAAGTCTCTTAACCCTTTTGAACTTTAGTTTCCTTCTTTTAAAAATAGAGACATTAATGTTTTCACATCTTGCAGATATGCTTTGTATAAATATAAGTTATTTTGTCAGAGAAGCTGTCTCCTGAAAACAATCTAGGGCACATATTATTCTGAGCCTTGATTTCTATTTCTCTATGTACAAATTCTAATTCAACAAGTTTTTATTAAGTGCCTACTATATGCTGTACTAATCAAAGGGAGAGGAGGTAAGTACCAAGTTAAGAAAAGTGACAGTTTTCTTCCTTTTCCCTCCTTTCTTTGCTTCCTCCCTCCCTTCCCTCCTTCCTTCCTTCCCTCCATCTCTTCCTCCTTCCTTGCTTCCATTTCTGGATATAGCATTTCCCCTTCCCCCACCAGTGATCATTTCCTTGTAAGAAAGAAAAACAGTTAAGCAAAAACAATTGACAAAGATACCACACCCAAAGAATCCCACATCTCCAATGGAAGAAAGATAGTGCATTTCCTCATTTCTTGAGAGATTGTCATTTGGCGTAAGTTTGTATACTAATGTATCCTTCTTCACTCCACCAACTATTGCAATTGCTTCCCCTTCCTTTTAGTTAACTACTTTGTCTCTTTCTTCTCCAATCCACCCTGTACATTAAAGAATCAAAGTGATTTTTCTATATCAGCACAAACCAACTTGTTACTCCTGTAATGAAAATCAACAATGCTTATCGTTGCCTCTTGAAAGGGTATTTCAATTACCTGTACTTTGGGTTCACTCATCCTCTTTTATTTGTGACTTCTCAGACCATAACTCCTTTCGCTGGCTACTACTCAATTATAAATATCGTCTCCTCCATTATAATGTATGTTTCCTGGGAGAAGGATCTTCTTGGTTTATCCATTTGTATCCCCCACACTCAGTACAGTACTTGACACTTATCAAGCCTATGATAAATGTTTTTCGTTCCTTCATTCATTCCTTAGGTCCCTATTGCCACTAAAATAAAATATAAACTCCCTTGTTTGGTATTTAAGACTCATCACAAGCTGGCCCCAAATTATCTTCCCAGCCTCAAAAAACATTACTCACCTTCCCATGCTATACAGTATAGCCAAGCTGTTACTCTTATTATTTCTCATACCCCACACTTCATCTCCCAATGCCATGAATTTGCTCAGTTGTCTCGTAGGCTTGGGATGAACTCCTTCTTCACCTCAGTCTATTGGAATCCTTTCTTTCCATCAAGATTCAGCTCAAACACCATCATATGAATTCTTTACTAATCTACCTAAGCTCCTATTGATTTCTCTCTCAGCATTACTTTGTAATATACATATGACATATATTTACATAGATCATATATTTATTTAGTACACATCTTTGGACAGGTAGGTAGTACAATGTAAAGAATGTGACCCAAGGCAAGTTACTCAGCCTCTGACTCAGTTTCCTCATTTGTAAAATAGGATAATAATAATACCTCCTCCCCAAGTTATTGTGAGGATAAAATGAAGATAATATTTCTAAAGTGCTTTGTAAACCTTAAAAGCTATATAAATTAATTTGTTGTTTTTGTTTTTCCAAGATGTATAAATTCCTAGAGGGCAAGGGCATATTTTCATTTTTGTTTTTATATTCCCAGCACCTAGTACAGTTTCTGTTATGTAGTAGGTGCTTAATAATGCCTATTGATTGGTTAGTTGATTGGAGTGAATTCATTCTGGCCCTGACTAAAAAGAATTTAGATTATGACTAGAGACTTTGAAATCCCATTGGTTTATCTAAAAAAAAAAGCAATCTCCTCTAGGCTTGATTGGTGTTAAGCATTCCAGTAAGATCAGTATCTATTTTATGCACCTAGAAAATCAGGAAAGAAAGAAATCTTGAAATTTCTTTGTTAAAATACTTTTCATTTTATTCAATATTTCATATACCAGGGGACAGATCATGAACTTGGAATCAGAAAGACCTAGGTAAAAATCCTGCCTCATCTACCTACTAGCTATGTGATCCTGGTCAAGTCATTTAACCTCTTCATGCCTCAGTTTTCTCATGAGTAAAATGAGGAGATTGGAGTTGATGGCCTCTAAAGGCTTCTACTGGCTCAGAATTTATGACACTATAATACAGGCTTAATGATCTATGATGATAAAGCTAAAGCAGCTAGAAAATTCCTTTAACATCTGTTCCCACCCCAGGAAAGGAAAGACAAAGTTTAGTATCCTAAAAAATATCACTGGCCATATTTTATACTGCTGATACTGATGAAGATATAACAAAAGGTAGGCCCATAGAGTGTTGCATATTTACCAATGTAACAAAGGATCAGCAAAAAATGTGATCAGATGAAAAACTGAGAGGGAAGTGATTGATGCAAGCTATGTATCTACAATGCGGAGGCCCCAAGGGGCACTTAGTGTCCCTCTGTTTTCTAATTAAATGTCATGGGATTTATTGCCTAAGAGCAGAAGGT